CAGTCACGCATTGCTATCCCTGCTTGAGAGCAGCTGGAGGAGGCAGTGCCGCAGGCTGCCAGCCCTCGAGCTCCTTTGCCACACTGGAAATTTCCCTGGAAAAAAAAAATAATGCCATTGCCTGCTGCCGGAGGGCAGCTGTAAATCATGGTGGGGAGACCAGGAGCTCTCAGCACAGGCACATCTGGACTCACCGGATTTTTTTAAGGCAGCTTCATGGTTTTTTGAAGCATCAGGGCAAATTATTATGGGCTGAAAACTCCCTGGTGTGAGGACTAAGTTGTTATGCGGCAGCTTAACTTGGGGAAGAAGCTCATGCTGAAGTCATTTTGCTTCTGTGTATCGTGCTCTTTCATGTGCCAGGAATGAGTTTCCCTCGTAATGTGAAGCCGGCGCAGACAATTTAAGTCATTATTAATAGATACACTTGATCTGAGGAAGTAAAATGCTTAATGTTTTGTTAAATGAGGTGTATTCTGCAAACAGTTGTATGCAGGGAGAAGGTTAAGATGCTACTCCCGCGCTAGAGATTAACGAGTGCAAGGCTACTACTGATGAAGTGCTCATCCTCACCAACATTTGGGGGCCTGAGTCTGTGTAGAAACATCTCTACTGAAGTAAGAATGCATGAGGATAGTCCCAGGCTTAACTGGTTGCAAGATCAGGCCCTTGGACGGACCCTCAGGGTCTTGAGGCGTGGGGACCGGTGTGCTGGGAGGACAGGCAATGTGCCCGTGGCCGTGCAGCATGGCAGGCGCAGCAGAGAGGTTAGGGCGGCGGGGTCCTGGCCTTCCCCCACCACCCAAAATTGCTGCCCAAAGGTGACAGGTAGTTTATAAGCAGTCAAAACCACCTGTTTCCTTCAAAACCCAACCGGGCACTTCTCCTCCTCTCCTGGCCATCCCCAGGATGCTCCACAGGTGTCCTGGCTGCCAGCTCCTCTCTGCAGTAAATCACTCCTGCCTGTACAACAGCATTCCAATTAAAAACACGGGAATATCATTTCATCCTGACATCACTTTCCACTCATCGGTGGAAAAAGCACTTGACTTGGCTGGCAGGAGCTCAGGCTCATGTGTTTGTACGTGCCGCTCAGCTACAAGAGGGCTCTTTCTTTCTACTCTTGCTGGCCCTGGCTATTTTTAATCCCCTCCGTCAGTGATGCTGTTAATCCTGTCATTACAGTGACCCAAGAAGTGAGTGTTATATGCAAATAGATGCTGATTAAAAGGCTTGCAAGAAGGGGTCACAGGGTATTTCAACACACTCTCAACAGCAGTTTAATGCCAGACACACACACATACACACCCCCCATAGCAAAATTAGCCCACATCTGACCAAGGAGGTCTAGAATCCCTGCTAAATATACCCAGCTGCAAGCGTGGGAGGTGGTTCTTGCCACAGGAAGGTGATCTCCCCGGTGCAAGCGAGGGCACGTGAAGGCAGGCTTCCTCCACGCCACTGCAAAAATACAGCCACCAGATTGCTAACGCACAGAATGAAAGCCAGCCAGTGCTGCAGAAAAACTGCTCAGGGCAAGTCCCTGGGGAAAATTATCCCCATCTGTGGTGCTCCCCAGGTCTCCAAACCTTCTCCTGTGCTGGCTAAGGGATCCCAGGGGATAACAAGGGTATTTCTTGTACAAAAGCAATGCTTTTAGGAGGTGGTTCAGTTGATACCAGAAGGGTGAAGGGGCACAGAGAGGCTGGAGGTAGCAGAATAGTAACAAGTGGTAAAAAAAGAGAAAAACAATGGAATTTGGAGGTTCAAACCAACTGAGCAGTTGTGGACAACCAGCCAGGTGGGAAGGCCAGTCTTGAGTTCAGGGGGAGAAAGAAAACAGGAAGGACCACATAGACTGACCTCAAATTAGGTTCCACTGCCAGCTGCAGATGAACAGAGATCTCAAGGAAGGTGGTTCTTTACACAAGGGATTAATTTACACAAGGACCGCAAGTTAGCTCCCCCCCACCTCAGCATGACCCCATCCCAGCTGGACACACTGTGATTTTTTTTTTTTTTGTGGCTTCATGCTCTTCCCATGGTCTCCAGGGCCAGATGGCTGGATGTCACCACAGCTGAGCTGAGGAAACCCAAAAAGAAACCTCAGATGACTTACAGCTGGATGTGTTGGCCCAGGGCTGGCACAAAGATGCTCATGGTCACCTGCAGGACCTCAGCAACGCCCCACTTGCAGAGGGCTATGGAGAAGGTCCCAAACATTTCTTCCAGCCCAGGTTGACTCTACACAGAGGAAACCATGAAATGTTTCAGTAGTCCCTCCACATCTGGCTGCTTTGATATAGTTTAACATCTTCCCAAGATCTGCTTTGCTCATGTTTATTCCCCTGGGAGGTGGGGCGGGAGGATCTGCTTTGCTCATGTTTATTCCCCTGGGAGGTGGGGCGGGAGGGCTGGCAGGCGGGGGGTTGTGTCACTCAGAGCCTTGGGCTGGTAGAGAAGCCACCGAGTCACACGATGCCGAGGTCTATTCTTGTCCCCACCACGGACTTCTCCCGTGACCTTGAGGATCGGAGCCACGAGCCTCGGGGCAGCAGGAGGTGGGGACGCTCCTCTGGCATCCGCCCCTGTGCTTAAATGGCAGCAGAGGCTGGGTGCTTTCTCTCTCCTATACAAGGCATGGGCAGGGAGAGAGGGTCCCCCTGCCAAAGGCCCAGGAGGATTTGTACCTCGCTTGCCTTTGCCAAGTGCTTTGCATCCCTGCAGAGACACACCAGCATGCCAGGCTGCGTTGTGCTGTCCACTAATATGATGCCCAGATTTTTCCGTATAGCAACCACAAGACTCGAAACAGATATGAGTGCCTTAAAGGAAAAAAAAAAAAATAGTGTTAAGCAGAGAAAAAAAAAAACACTTTCTCAGAGCTCAGAGCACACAGATGAGGTTATATGGGGTTGGGCAGAGAGGAGCTGACTAAATTTCTTTTCTTTTTCTCCCTAAACCCTAGGCACCATTTTCCTCCCAGCCTGAACACCCATGTCCCAAGCTGCTGCCTGCAATTAAACCGGCAATTTAATCCAAGACGTGCTGCCACAACACAGCCCAGTGACCATTTGACTCCCATCGTATCGCGTGCCTGTTATCACCTGCCCCTGCTGGAGTTATAAATACGACGACAATAGAGCCTTAACTGGATTATAATTAGACAATGAGCCCAGGAGGATGGAAACAATGAACTATAAAAGCCCGTCTATCCTCCCAGATAGGACCTACACACACGAGAAGCACTGGAATGGGAGAGTTACCAGGACCTGTAACAGAAAAGCTACAGATTTCCCCCAAATTGGATTCAGAGCATCCTCTAACGGCTCACGCTCCCGCCATCAAGTATTACACGGCCCTGGTCACGGGAGACCTGAGAAACCTCGAGGTCCTGACTGACCGATACTATCAAGATGTCAACCTGGTTTTTGAGATCAGTAAAAATGAGATGGAATGGCAGGTGAAAAGCCAAGCATCTTATGGACTCTCAGGTACTTTTCCTTTAAAGGCCAGTCCAGAAAAATTGAAAAACCAGGTATTTACTAACCCTAAATAGGAGAGGTGCAGTACAGTTATGTGCCTAACGCTGCTTTTATAGAGCCTCTTCCTGAGGTAGCTGGTTTCTGGGTAGATGACTGTGCCCTGCAGCCCCAGCCATAAATATCCAGCACTTTCTTTCATTATTTTCTTCTCTTCTTCACATACTAACCCACCAAAGGGGCAGGGAATTGTAAAAAGTGCGTGTCCACGTCATTTTTCCAGGTTGGGATAGGGGCGATTCATGGCTTAGGCATGCTTGCAAGAGGGCTGGCAGCCCAAACTCCCCATGCAGGGGCTCAGAAGGAGCAGCCCAGTCCCACCCAGCAGGAACAAAATTCTTTTTTGTACCTGGTGCCTCCCAAGCCCAAATGGTCCTGTGGTCCCAGATGCTCATGGGGCACCGTGCATCCATGGATGGTCCCAGAGGTCCTGGAGCTGCTGGGAAACGCGATGCCTTGCTCCAGCTGAGTCCAAACCTAGCTCATCCTACGCCCAGTCCTGTGTCACCCTCCCAACACGCGCACACCCAGACTGGGTGCCTTCAGGCCTAGCCCCGCAAAGACAGGTTCTTCCTCCACTGGGTGCAGGTGGGGAATTCGTGAGCTGCCTTTTAGCTCCTGCCAGGAAGGCAGAGGGTCCCCTGTGCAGCTGGTTGCAGGCAGGGTATTGGTTTACCCAGCTCGCGCTGGATGAAATCTTGCTCCTGCATGTGCACTCACCGGGGGAGTTTTGCTTCCCCTCTTGCCAAGAGCACTCGGAGCAGCCACCAACAGTAACCAGGCTCTTTGGAACACTTAAAGCTGCCAGGGCACTAAAAGAAAAATGGTGTCTTGATCCGGTTTATTCACAAGGCTGGTGCACAGGGGACGGGAACCCAGTGGGTCAGCCCTGGGCATCAGCCCTGCTCCCTCCTCCCCACACCCTGACCTGGCACCGGGGGGACGCGGGCCCCTGCATGAAGCCTGCCTGGGAGGGCACGCCGACTGTGTTGAGCTGCTGCTGGAGCACAGGGCTGACCCCAACCTGCGGAGTGACGAAGGCCTGGCCCCACTGCACCTCTGCACCGCCCAGGACTCCCTGGGGTAAGGAGAGGTTCCCCCATCAGCATCCCCCACTGATAACCTCACTCCACACCTCCTGCACACAGACCCCAGCGCTTTTGCCTCTGTAGGGTGTCAGAAAGATGCCATGATTCCTGGCAAGGCTTCCCATATGCTCCCACATCACCCAGCTGCATCAGCTGCTGCAGCACACTCAGCATAGACAAAAAGGGACATTTCGGTACCAGGCACACTGCACACCCCGAGTATCTTTCCTGTGGACAGGAGCAGCCCAGCCCAGCCCAGCTCTGCATGCTTTTCCTTCCTCCTCTTTTATGATGATTTATCCTAAAATGGCTGTGTCCGGAATCCCAGGTCCATCACACTTTCCGCTGGGAGATGCTCAGGATGGGTCCAGTCATGGAGCACACAAGTCACCCCAACCCCCCTGTGCTCCTCAGCCTATGCCAATGCCATCCACAAGGGATGTCGGTGCCGATCAGGGCACCCACCCCTCCTAAAATCCCAGTCTCATGGCCGTAACAAAGGGACGTGGTCTGCGGATGGGGAGTGATCCTCCCACCTCCTCACCCTGCACAAGCCATTTATGGGTCCACCTTGGCTTATAGTCCAGGCTAAGGTTTGGCCACATGTATCTGCTCCCTTCTCACCCTGGATCAGCATCAACATCACACACAGATGAGCATAAACTTTGCCTTGAAAAACAAGGTTTTTCTGCTCATGTGTGTGTCTCTGTAGGACTTCAAGTGCTTGAATCATTAGACCCAAAGAATTAGGAATTTTTTTTTTATTTCTTTTTTTTAAAAGAGAACTCAGCGCCTTGTTATCCTCATGAAATTTGCTACAGCCCTAAGCAGTTTCATCACCTGCCAGTTTCAGTGAAAAGCCACCCCAGCTTCAATCATCTCCCCTTCAGGCAGGCAGCAAGCTTAACTAGAATTAGATGGTGAAGGCAAGGTTCCCACTACAGATCCAATGTACCATGGGCCAGGTGTCATAGCAAGAGCTCTGCAAAAGAAAAGCAGCCAGGGAAGAAAAGGTTTGCAGAACTAAATATCTCAAGCCCAGTTTATAAATAGTCTCTGCAAGACAGCCAAAAATCAAGTATTAATCAAATTTTGGTTCAGCCAAAAATCTAGGGATTGATCAAACACATGCTTGGTGCGATGAGGGTTGGAGGGAGTGGGATGGGTAAGGGAGAATGCTACAAGCAGCCCTCATCATTGATAAGAAGCTGGTTTTAATTCCTTCATCTGAGCACCCTTTTGACCTTAAAGCCTTCAATCTCCAAACCCCAAGCCACCCTAAAAGCCCCAGGGGTGGGGGAATGGGGTGGGTGGGTATGTGTATTTTAGGATTCACCAACCTGCTCTCCCCTGGTAGAGATAGGACACAGAAACCAACCTGGTGCATGGAGAGGACCCCATGGCCCACAGAGGTCCAGGTGTCCTGCTTTTGGCCAGGTGCTTCCCAGCTTGGAAAAAAAAATACATATATATTAAAAGTGAGCCACTTTCACTGATTTACATGTTATTTTCCCCAGAGGGACAGAGAGGGATGGCCGGTGAGCCAGCAAACGGCGATGCAGGGATCAGACAGACGCAACGTGGAAACAGCTGAGTTATAAGCCCTTGAATATTGGGGCTTTAAAATGGAAATGCTGAGAGACCCTTAACTACGCTACCTGGCGCTACGGGGGCTTCTACAATAACTAAGCCAACTCCCTTGAAAGATCAAAAATTAATAGACATTTCAGACAGGTTTTGAGGTTTCGACCACTGCTTTTCAATTGCAAAGACTTTGCTAAAGTTAGAGACTGAGGAGGTCAAGCTTTAGGTAACACAAACATTTCCTCTTTGATTAGGGGGAGACTACTTTACCTTGCCTTTTTTTTATTATTTTTTTTTTTTATTGAGTAGTAGATTTTAGGTCATCCTTAATTTTTTACTGACAATAAAGAGCAGGTCATTGACCTACATAGAGAGCTATTTTATTTTTCTCCCTCTCGATAACAATGGCCAGAACACCTATGTGCCGGGTTCTTCTGTATTCCCATATACTCGGCAATTCACCATGGGGGCAGGACTTAAAACCTTTGAGCCTCTCAGTGACTGGGATAAAAAAAAAATTATCTGGGCTTCCTTCCAGCCATTTGAGCTTCAGAATCCATGAGATTTCAACAAAAAGGATATCAGAGCTTTAATCTAGGAGCTTTTTGAAGAGATGGAAAAAAAAAAAGTTCCAGTAAAGTTCAGTCTTACCTTCTTCACTTTAGGAGCTGTTCATGCCAACGTCGGCCTATTTAGTAGAGTTCCTCTCCTTGACCTCTTTTTTACAGCAGAGATAATTAACATGGTGGGGTAAGATGAGTCTCTAAATTCACTGCACTCTCTCCCTGGCGCTCTCCTGTTTCCCTCTTAAAGCTGGGATGATTAAAGGAGTCTGCCTTTATTGGCACCCCGAAAAAAATAAAATAAAAATAATTGAGGGGGAGAGGAAGAGTCTCAACTTTCCCGGCAGTGCTGGGGGGGGAAGAGCAGACGTGGGGCGGCAGGAAGGCGCATCGCAGGGATGCAGGAGGTAGCTCCTGCCTCCCATTGTGGTACCCACAGCAGAAGGGATGGCGAATGCTACCACATTTGTAGAGTCCTCCTTCAGATCTGCGAGTTAGAAAAAGCTCTCTGAAGATCTCAGGTTTCCCATGCAACCAGGGAGAGCCTACCTGGAGAGAAATCCCCCAGGGCTTGCCTTCCCCAGCCTTCCACATAGGGAAGCGGGCTTAGTCAAGCCAAGCGATGAGGAGAGAAGATGTCACCCCTGCCTCTGTGCAACTTGGGCTTATGGCTGAGTGATGCCCTTGTGTTCACTTCTTCAAGCTTCCTCTCCACCCCCGGAGCCAAAACCAGAGTTTCTGGCTCCCACCCGCCAGGACCATGGGATGGGAGATAAATGGTGAGATGAGTCAATGCAGGAGGAGACTCGATGTCCAAGGGCTCTGTGCAAGAATCGATGGGGTAAGGAGTGAGTACAAAAGCTGCCAGCCTGGGGAGGCACGACAGGTTTTGCTTAGGGGATGTTCGATGAGGATAGTTCTTCACAGGAGGAATTAGCAGGAAACAGGAGCACAGCAGGAAGGCAGGTACCTAAAAGGCAACACTATCAAGATCTCAAGGCTTCCCAAATGCCAGGGAGAGGGGCACTAACCCACTGTTGGTGGATCTGGCCCTGTGGCACCCTCTGGCTATTCCAGCATTGCCCTTTTGGCTGTGGCAAAGAAGCATTACTACAAATGAAAAAAGACCACAGAATCTAAAGGCCAGCGTTTAGCATCATCTAGTGCTAAACCTCGTCCTCTGCTCCATTTAGCATCAATAAAATACAAAACTCAGAGCATTTGGAGCAATCAAACTTTTTGGAAATCAAAATTTTTGGAAACTCATCCCCCCACCAGGGAAGACCAGTTCCTTAATAGGTCCTGAGCAAGAAAAAAGACAGCCCAAAAGCAGACACAGAGCACAACCCAAGGCCTGACCCTGCTTTTTGAAGAAGCTACTTCCCAAGTTGGTGTGACAAAATGAGGGCTCATACATATGCGTGTCCACAGCTCACAAGGCTTTGTCAAAGAGGCGGTGCAGACAGCAATGCTCCTGGGCTGGCATTTGCCCCATGGCAGCAGAGCGGTCCCCACGCTGGCATGACCAGCCCCACTGTGACCAGCCCTCGGCACCAGTGTTGCCACAGTTCACCGGTGGGCTTGCGGTGCCCCAAAAGATTTTCATCTTTTTAAGAAAAAACAGCTTCCTTCTCCTTCTTGTAGGAAATTAGTAAGAACAATCCTTGCATTTGGAGCCAGGCTTGGGGAAGGCTGTTTTTCCAAACAGGATCAATCCTGCAATAAATCACAGACAAATGGGTAGATGGTCACTCAGATGCCATGAAAAACAACCAAGTGAAGGATGAAAAAGCCTCACTCCAGCCTCAGGGAAGGAGGGGGAAACCAAACAGGAGATTTTTCCTTAAGAAAACGGAGGGCCTGAGCAGGTTTTTGGGACAGGAATTTTCCTCCGGCCTCCGATGCCCCAACCTCCTGCTCCTCCTGCTGGTTATTCATCGCATCCCATTTCAAGCTAAATCCCGATTTCCCAGCCTGGGCATTTTTCATCCCAAAGTGGGCAGCATCCTGCTGGGATGCTGGGAGCTGCGGCCAGCAGGACCCATCCTGGCAACGAGAGGGCAGGGGAGGGCAATAGGCATGTCCTGCCTGACATTGCACCGACATCTGCTCTGACACCATTGATGGGCAAAGAAGGAAAATAAAACCTAAATAATTTTATCCTGTTTATTTGAGCCAGGACCCCAGCACAAGGCAAACCTGTAGTACTAATACCAGTTATCACAAATTAGTGTGATTTTTTTGGCCTAATGAGCAACTTGTCCAAGCAAGGAGACATTCAGGTGTGCTACCCATCACCCAGAAATGAGTTAGGAAAGGTTTGGAAGTGGGTTTAAACTAGTCAAAATCAGGCATAGCTGTGTGTGAGGATGGCTCTTTGAGGGCTTGATCCAGGGGTATTGCTGCTGCAGGCAAGCTCCTTGGCCAGGTTGGTGGTACCAGGCTGGATGGAAAACAAACTGGTTTGCTTTGCCACCCTGCGTCTGAATTTCTGCTGAACTAAATCCATGGCTTCTTGCAATATTCCCGGAAAATAGGAGAGGACCCCTCAAAAAGCAGCAAGCGATAGCTGAGCCCTATTTAATGGGATTTTATTCTAATCTGATGGTGAACAGGGCATTAATAAAAAAGCAAGAAGCTAGAAATGCTGGCAAAGTTTTAGAAAGTATGAGTTCATCAGCAGAGATTAGAGGCTAAAGTAAGAGCATATAGCCAGCAAGCACGAATGGCATCTACCCGGCACCTGCTGATGCCCCATACATCCAAAGAGGGGGCCCTCGTGGGGGCTCACCATTTCCATTAACCAGAGGAGATCACCCCTTATTTATAGCCCTTCACTAACATTCCCTCTTTGCCGAGGGAGGAGTATCTAGGGGGAAAAATGCGATATAAACCGACTCGGGTTTCTTCCAACAAGTTAGCCAAAGAACTTAATAATAAGTAAGAATAACCCTTCAGGAAAACAGCATCTGGGAAGGGTGGCATTTCCACCATGTTATTTCTAGAAGGATATTTGGGATGGTTGTCAGGAGACCAAGAGGAATTGAACCCCCTGTAACTGAACTCTCATCCCGCTCTCAGTAAGGGAAAAAATGGGCTGGGGGGGGGCTGGGTGCAGCTCGTGGCTTTGCTGGGCAACACGCGATGTACCACCCTTTACCTGCAAATGAAGGGCAGGGGAATATTCCCTCTGTCTTGCCTGTGCAGATGTAAATCTTCAGCCTGGGCACTCTCAATACACAGCACTTGCCAAAATCGGTGCGGGGTTTGTGCTCAGGGTCTCCAGGCACAGCCGCCTCCTTGCCTGGGAAGGATCAGAGGTGCTATAAGCATGATCTATAAAAAAACCCAAGAACAAAAGGTATTTTTTCTCCCAGACTAGGCTGCTGCACATTTTTCAACCAAGTCAGAAATATATTTTTATCCATTTTTCCCTGTAGAACCATCCCTTGGTTTGCCCCGAATACATTATTTTAGGATGCCAGAGCTAACCATGACATTAGGATTAAGCTAACCCAGCGAGGTCCTGAGAACGTCATTGTAAGTAGGGCTACAAATTCCCTCCTGTCAAGGACGGGCAAGACCGGTAAACATGAGCGAGTCGCAATGTGATTTGCTCCAGCAACAGACCCTCTCCAATAAAGTTTTACCAACCTGCAGCAGACAGCAATTGCAAAAAAACCCTCGGCAAGACAAACTCACAGAATCACAGAATGCCTTGGGTTGGAAGGGACCTTTAGAGGTCATCTAGCCCAACCCCCTGCAGTGAGCAGGGACACCTTTAAATAGATGAGGTTGCTCAGAGCCCCATCCAACCTGGCCTTGAATGTTTCCAGGGATGGGGCCTCCACCACCTCTCTGGGCAATCCATTCCAGTGTTTCACCACCCCCATTGTAAAGAATTTCTTCCTTATATCCAGTCTAAATCTACCTTCCTTCAGTTTAAAACCATTACCCCTTGTCCTGTCACGATCAGCTAAAAAGTTTGTCCCCATCTTTCCTATAGCCCCCCCTTTTAGTACTGAAAGGCCGCAATCAGGTCTCCCCACAGCCTTTTCTTCTCCAGGCTGAACAAGCCCAACTCTCTCAGCCTGTCCTCATAGGAGAGGTGCTCCAGCCCATAGCTTGAGAAGGGGATTCAGCACGTTTTAGAGTGAAGGGGAATTGTAAAGTAAGGATCTGAGGATTTGGGGGCTGGCACAGCCCCACACTCAGTCCGCTCAGGCACAAGTGCATCCCCAGCAGATGCCCCTGGTGAGGTCCAGTGAGGCAGCAGCTGGGAGCATTACATCTGCAAAGGCTGCAGAAACAGCCTGTCCGCACAGATCCTGCAGGATTTTTTTCCTGGCAAACTCTGGCTTGGTATGCACAGGAAAAGCAGCCCAAGGAGGTATTTGCTGATCCTGCACCACCAAGGACAGTGAATATCTCACCACCTCCTATCAAATCTTGGGGGCAGGTGATGCTGAAGGTCCAGAAAGAGTCAAGTAGATTATAATTATTATTACTATTTTATTATTATTATTATTATTTTCCCCACATATGTTAGCATTCATCTGGGCCAGGAAAAACAAGCAGTGCCCTAGCACCATCCTTCTTCCCTGAGGCTCTTCTTCCCCATCCCTCCTGCTGGAAGGATCAGGCTGGGACTCTGCTCCCCCTCATTTCGCTTCTGTATCAGCCCAGAAACTCACTTAGGGCTCTAGGTGATACCTGAGCTAAAATAAAAGCTTATTAGAGGAAAACAAAACAGGCAGGGGTGGGGTGTTAAAGGTTGATACACCTCCCTAGACTCCAGTCAGCCACTGCTGAGGCTTCCTGAAGGACTGCTCTTCCCACCTCACTGGCAGCATCTCTTGGGAAACACAAGCTCACCACATTTTCAAGGTCTCACTTGGACGGCATGTGAGTCCGGCCCCCCACCAAAAAAATAGCTCCTTCGTGCCATAGCGGCGAGCTCAGCCCTACACACTAACCTGGCTGCCAAAAGCTGTGCCGGGGCAATGACATTGAGCCATGCTGGCCCCGGCAGCTCTCGACAGAAAATGGAGCAGTCACTTTGATTCTTTTGGACTAGCTGATCACATCTGTTTACTCACATACACACCAAAAAAAAAAAAAAAAATCCTCCATCAGTGCATACCAGGCATCTTTAACCCCCATCCATTGTCAGCAGGATGCAGGTGGAAAGCCCTGACAGGAACCCGTGTCCCCGCTTCACAGCAGCCAGGACCCCTCTTTGCAACTACACACAGTGATGTTAGAGAGAAGGAGAGGTGGGAGCAGTGATTTAGGGTGGGGAGGATTGCTTACCTTGATTTATTCCTCCGGAGAACTGCAGGTGCTGCCACTCTGTTGTCACCAGGTGCCAAACAAGCCAGCAAAACTCATTTCCACGGACTTAAACCATCTGCAAAGGTGTTTCTTTTCAGGACAGGCAGAAAACAAGATCCTTCAGTCCTCTCTGGGGTGGGAGCCCAACACAGGCATTTGGATCCCCTAACGGGAGAAGAATAATCCATTTTTATGCCCAAGCAAACCCACACCAAGCACAGAGAAGTTATTGAGGTTTTCCCTCCACGTCAGCTTGATCTCAGCACAGATTAAGGTGGAGGTAGCAGTTTAGAATGCTTTCAGCTGAGAAGCCCCATGGATGTCAGCCAAGGGGTGGGATTGTATAGACCATTTCCTTAATACCCCAAGGCTACACCCATGCCAGGAGATGAAGGGGCCCATCACCCTATGTATCCTTATCGTGGCCAGATGCATTCCGCACCCCTCATCGGCCAGGCCAGACCCAGCTGGTATGGCTAACCATGGGCACCGCTCCTGGTGCTGCCCGACTGTTGGCACAGCTGGGACAAGGATCACTGGTCCCTGCTGGGTCTAGGCTGGTGAGACCCCGGTGGGTCAAGGATGGCCAAGGATGACCATTCATGAATGATGCTGATTAAGGGCAAGAGGGAGATGTTACCCAAACCACCATCACCACCACTACAGTGGGCACCAGGGCACAGGGTCACCCTCCCCAGCCTCTGCTGCTTCCTCCCAAAATCCTCAAGTGCCACAACCCCCATGGGACCCCAGCTACAGCATGACCCCCATCCTCACCCCATGCCACCTCCCGCTCCAGCCCATGCCCTCCAAAGCCTACCTAGGCAGCGCACCCCACAGCGTCCCCAACTCTTTGCAGATGTGCCAAGCTCCTGCTGAGACACGGGGCCACCGTCAACCTGCCCAGCGAGGACGGGGGGGAGACGGCGCTGCACGTGGCAGCCAGGCACTGCCTCTGTGACC